CATCTCATCCTTCTTCTACTCTCCTCCTGCTCTCCTCTCCTTACTCTCCTCCTCATCTCCCTCCTGCTCCCTCCTCTCCTCCTCTCTTCTCCTCATCATCTCCCCTTCCTTCTCCTCCTCCTCCTTATCTCCTCCTCTGCTCTCCCTCCTCCTATCTTCCTCCTGCTCTCCTCCTCCATCTCCCACCTTCTGCTCTCCTCCTCTCATCTCCCTTCCTTCTCTCTCCTCCTCACCTCCTTCCTTCTGCTCTCCTCATCTTCCTCCCTGCCTCTCCTCCTCCTCCTCATCTCCCTCCTTCTGCTCTCCTCCTCCTCATCTCCCTCCTTCTGTCCTCTCCTCCTTCCTCCTCCTCCTCATCTTCCTCCTGCTCTCCTCCTCCTCATCATCTCCCTCCTTCTGCTCTCCTTCCTTCTGCTCTCCTCCCCATCTCCTTCCTTCCTCTCCTCCTCATCTCCCTCCTTCGCTCTCCTCCTCCTCTCTCCCACCTCTGCTTCTCCTCCCCTCATCTCCCTCCTTCTGATCTCCTTCTTCCTCTCTCCCTCCTCATCCCCTCCTCATCTCCTTCTGCTCTCCTCCTCCTCCTCATCTCCCTCCTTCTGCTCTCCTCATCTCTCATCTCCTCTTCTGTCCTCCTCCTCCTCCTCCTCCTCCCATCATTCCTCCTCATCTCCTTCCTTCTGCTCTCCTCCTCCTCATCTCCTCTCTCTCTCCTCCTCCCACCTCTGCTCTCCTCCTCCTCATCTCCTTCCTTCTGCTCTCCTCCTCCCTCATCTCCCTCCTTCTGCTTCCTCTTCCTCATCTCCCTCCTTCTGCTCTCCTCCCCTCCTCATTTCCCCCTTCTGCTCTCCTCTCCTCATCCTCATCTCCCTCTCTGTCTCCTCCTCCTCATCCTCATCTCCCTCCTTCTGTTGATCCCTGTTTATCTTCGTTTTCCAAGGCCAGCAAATTCGACTACAGCCACAGATCCCTTGACGGGCCATCTGAGCAGATTCCGGCGATGGACCAGACGAAGGACTTGGTCAAGAGCGCGAATTTCTCAGGTGAGAATCGAACTTGGAATGATCTTGTGCTCAGGTTGGAAGCTATTAAGTATTGTTTAAAACAGGGTCTTGGGTTTTAGATTTATTCAAGTTCGAATAGACGCGTACCGAACTAGATTATCTGCAGAGACGGTTTCAGCCTCCTACTTTAAAGTACAGAGAGATAGACACGACACAACCCATCATGGCGGTGTCAAGCCCCCCCCCCCCTTCTCTCTCTTCTCTTTCTTTCTTTCTTCTTCTTCTCTCTCTCTTTCTCTTTCTTTCTTTTCTTTCTTTCTTTCTTCTTTCTTCTCTTTCTTTTCTTTCTTTCTTTCTTTCTTCTCTTTCTTTCTTTCTTCTTTCTTTCTCTTCTCTTCTCTCTTCTCTCTTCTCTCTCTCTCTCTCTCTCTCTCTCTCTCTCTTGAAAAAATATGATCACTTATATCCTGGCAAGAATAGAGACAAGTTTAGTGGCACCTGGTATTTACATTGGATATTGAACTTCCAATGCCTTTGGTCAAGCAGAGCTAATGACTGAGTCCAATGAAGCAATCCTTATGATGGTTCCTACCTATATGTTGAATAAGTTTTTCATTTTCAGTATGCGATGGAAATTTCATGTGAAAAGTTGATCTATCGAATCCATGCACTGTATACCACGTGGGTAATGGATAACACATTGTATAAAACACGTTATAATACTATATATCAATGCGTGTATCTGTGTGTGTATCAACGCTGAACAAAACCCTTAAGAATCTTGCATGTGGATGCCGGGATATGTAGCTCGCACACCACTCTAGACTTCAGCGATGCTGGAGGCGCTGGTATTACCATTGCAGATTTCGAACCGGTATTTGCAACAGGAGCGGATAGGAACCTGGGACCGGTACTACTATCGGCCCCAGGTTTCTACCCGGTCCTCTGCAATAGGTTGTCGTCTCAGGTGGGAAAACCTGGTAGCCACGCGGTCAGTGAGGATGACTGCTATTTTACTAGTCGGTCCACCACCTCGATCATAGAGATAGTTACCTTCATGCAGCGTACTATGTTAAGACTAAAGCCACCATTTGAGTACTTGTCTCTTATTAATGTCGATCTTTGCAAACGTGCCTTGAAAAATGTTTTATGCCAAGCTCTTCAGACATCTGTTGGTGCTTTTGGCAAAGGAGAGGCAAGTAAAAATAAGAACAACTTCCCTTTTCAGGATTTTGCAAGGTTCTAGAAATCAATCATGACTGGCTCTTTGTACAAGCGCCCACATTCTTACCAACACTCGGTATGACTGAGTGATCAGGAATAACGGACCCTATAGTATTTATGACATACCTTTAAAATACTCCATACGGCATACAAGCCCATTTAGACTGCGTAAAAACACGACAGGACTTGATCTTCCATTGCTCCCTGGTGCATAGGATTCGAGTGAGGATTTTTAGATTTAAAGATTTAGTTTTAATTCCATTTCTTACAATGGATATGCTTTGCTATGACATACTGGCTGGTTTACTTTGCTTCTAAATCTCCCCCTGTGTGCAAGGAATGGCCAGGGTTACCATTCACTGACCGGGTATGGGATTGAACGCAGGTCTGCAAGATTGCTAGTCCAACACGCTAACCGCTGCGCCAGAGCAAGTCACAGCAAAAGCATTTAGGAGGCCATTTTCCTAGCAAATGACCTTCGTTCGGCTTATGAAGGCCTGACGAAACTGAATGCGTGTGTGTAACCAAGCCATAAATATTATTCTTGCTCTCGTCAGATTTCGCAGCCCCAATCGCCATGATGTACAGCAGTTGGGAGACGGATAAAATCATCGCATTTGAACTTGTCCGAAACCTTTCTCTGGCGCTGGTGGCCGTGTTCGTCATGACGCTCATCCTCATAGCCAACATCGTGTCTTCAATCTATGTTCTCTTGTGTGTTTTGCTTACCCTCGTGAGTAAAAGAAAAATATTTTTAGTTGTGAATTTTTTCCCTTTTGTAAAGATTATCATTTTCCTTTATGCTATTATTAAACACAATCGCATATACTGATAGATGTGATTTTCTCTAATTTTATTGTTTAAAGGTAATTCTTAAAATATGTGCAGGGATATAAGTCAATAATTACGATGATAATGATGGGAATAATAATAACAATGGTATTGATAATGATATTGATAACCATAATGATACTAATAATGATAATGAAATTCATTCTAATTTCCAGGTCGATGTCATGGCCCTGATGACCTGGTGGGACCTGACTATTGACACCGTGTCTTGCATCAACCTGGTTCTCTGCATTGGCCTCTGTGTTGACTACTCGGTGCACATAGCACTGCACTTCATGCAGGTATTGTGGACGAAATGTGTTTTGCTTATTGTGTGAGGCTATGTTTCATCTAATATTTACTTTTGTTGCCCATCTCTCCTTCTCCTATTCTTCTTTTTTTTTGTTATTGTTCTTGTAATTCTTCTTTTTTTCTTCTTCTTCATCTTCTTGTTCTTGTAATTCTTCTTTTTTTCTTCTTCTTCTTCATCTTCTTGTTCTTGTAATTCTTCTTCTTCTTCCTCCTCCTCCTCTTATTCTTCTTCTCTCAAAAGCTCCATAATTTCCTAAGCTCCATTTTTAACTTCTGCAGGTTAAAGGCACGAGAGACGAACGTGTTCAACGGACGGTGAAAGAGATGGGTCCGGCAGTTATAAACGGAGCCTTCTCTACGTTCCTGGCGTTCATCCTCCTCGCTAATTCGGATTCTCACGTGTTTGAATCGTTTTTCAAGGTTTGTACTTTTTTTTTTTTTTTTTTTTGCTCACTCGGTCACTCACACTCACATATTCACTCTTTATCTTTCTCTCTTTACCATCCCTTTGAGATGTAATATTTGTCTCAATAAGCGTATCAGACAAAAAAAAAAAAAAAAAAAAAAAAAAAAAAAATCTCCACCCCCACTCTTACCTCCCCCGCAAACCCCACAGATGAAACCCTCACCTATCCAAATTTTCCAGATCTTCTTCGGCGTGTTCATCTACGGGGTGTTCCATGGCCTGGTCTTCCTCCCCGTCCTCCTCAGCCTCATTGGACCAGCGCCCTACGCCCACGACCTCCACGCCCTTCCCGAAGCCATCGAGGTCGAGAAGCGCTCCAAGGACGTTCTGGTGATCGATGGAAGGACTTACTCGCAGGTGCACAACGTTAGGTCCAATTCGTCCTACGAGTGATTTTCTTTGTAAATAGTTTCGTACTTGCATGCATTCTTCTATTTTTTTTATTTTTTTAATCTTTCAGTGATATGTGATTATTTTTCTCTGTTCTGTTCTGGAGAGAGGAATTTGCTATTTGATTTATTGGTAATAGAGCCAAGGTGCAAGATTTATCAAGGAGATTCTCTTTTAACATTTTCTATGAACATGTTATTATAATAATAACAGTAGTAATAAATGATATTAAAGTTATTATCATCATCAACATGCTGCTACTTGGTAAGATCTTGCTTACCGAAATTTTCTCTCCTTTATTAAGTTCTGGACGGGTATAATTATTCCCATGTGAACTTTTATTTTCTAGTATCACATTTATATTTTTTTCTTTGTCTGTCAGTAGATGATTACTGCCTTATGCTAAATCCTATTTTCACTGTATTTTGTGTGTGGATGTATAAATATAATAATTTAAAATTACATTTGTGTATCAAACAAAGAGAAACACTATATTAGTTTATCTGAAAAAATAGTATGTTTAAACTCTTTACTTTAACATTTGAAAAGCATATGAACAACTATAATATTAATAGCCCGTGAAAGTACTTTGCAATACTCATTGAATACTTTTAATGCACTTCACTGGTGTTATTTTTACAACAAAGTTATCTAGAAAAGGTATGGATAAGAATGAACATTACAATATAAGAAATGTACTTGTACTTTCATGTATTTATGACAAAGTATTCGAAAGCAATCAAATACATCTCTTGTATTGTGAAGATATTAATTCTCATTCATATCTTTTCTACATGTCAACATCAATTCTGTATTAAAATCATCAAATGGTTATTTTTTGACAACCAACAAAAATCTGTTGGCTCAAAGTACAATACTATTTGAATGGGGTTTTGATACATTTGTTGTGTTTATTTGCTGTGAGGTCCTAAACTCTTATTAAAGAAAATGTGTATTATCTGAAGAACAAAGCCACCTAAATACATATCTTTCTTGCATGCCTTTTCTCTTGCTAGTGACAAAACGTGTGACTTCTTGATTTTTCTATTTCTGTATGCATTATATAAACTTATGTTTATACTGTTTCTGTACATATTTCTGTATCTTATGGATGCAGCTGAATTAATAAATATGACAGATTTTTCCTTTGCCTGTATTAATTTTCATATTTTTATAGAACAATTGCATGTTTATCTTTAATGATTTTCACTAAATACCTTCAATGATTTATTTATCCATTTTCTCTACCCTGTGCATGATACATTTAGATTTCTCTTCAAATACAGTTTAATCATGGTTATCATTTTTTTTTAGAAACATGATTAATACAGAAAAAAACTCTATTCCACAGAAAACCTGAAGTTCTTGAATGCAATGAAAGGTAAACCTAACCTGTATGTTAGTTCTTACAGTTTTTATGCCAAGTGATGCAGTTTCTCTAGTGGTGAGACATGTGTACTTTAAATCATAGCAAAGCAAACTTCGCTAATTTATACATTATTGTATTATATATTTTTTTAATCAAAGAAAAAATAAAATTTCTAGTAATGTTTATAAATTTGCTAAGGTAAGTCTTCAACTTATGTACTGTACTTACAATTAAAAGTTAAAGAATAAAATTGTAAACAAATATGCTACCAAATTTCAAGGGACTTTATTCTAAAGGTATAGCTGTTTTTTTTAAGCTTTTGTTCTATTTCCACAGTATTCCTGAGGTGCTGCCTGTGAAGAATCCCATGGACAAGTAATTAAGATACCTGTATATGTGAAGACATGACAGAATACATTCAGCAGAAGAAAGAATTAGTTATAGGACTTTCATGTAATTTTTAAATGGTACTGCTTACCATTAAATCATTATATTTTGTATTTGGTGTAAACTGTGTATTTCTCATTTTGAGTGTCGTGATCATTAACATTATTACAAGTAAGATTAGTTCTTTGTAAATGAGAACTTGACTAGGATGTAAGTAGATTATTTAAATTGCTTCATATTCATGTCAAATTTATCAGTAATATAAATTTGAATACAATAAGCATTGTGTCAATTTCTTTGTGACAAATATTGCACAAGTCAAATGGTTTTAAACCACTGTATACATCTTTACTGTAACTTGCAAGGTATATTATATATATGCATAATAAATATCTTCTTTAGGCACAGTTCTTTAAATTTCTACACTACACTTAAAATTTAAAAATCTACAGTCCATTAACCTAATGCCGCTATACACAGTGATGGCTCCCCATGTACTAAGTCACCAATGAACCAACAATGAGTACTACCTATTTACTACCCGTTTATCCTATTCCCTGAGCCAACTACGAGTACTACCTACTTACTACTCATTTATCCTTTACCTTGAGCCATCAACAAGTACTACGTATTTACTACCCGTTTATCCTTTTCCTTGATTTTCATAAATATTTTCAGAAATCTTACCTTACTGTCAGTAATGTAAATAATATTAGGATAATTATGATGTCTGCAATACTGATAGCCAAGAGCATCAATATTGATAGCATTAAAAAAACAACTCAAGGAAAGGTCAAATCAAATGAGGTCACATGCTCTACTAATTAACTCGATTGTGGCTAAATGCTTCTGGAGTTATTTCACAAAACAATACTATAGGGAACACAATCTTTTTCTGGTGATGTGGGGCTAATACTTAATTTGCTATTTTTAACATGTGGACACTCCAATTCTCCTTAAAAGAGAAAAAGGAAATTGATAAATGATTTCAATTTCCATTTTCTTCCTGTGCATTTACTTATTTATTTTTCTCTATCTCCTTTTCATCCTTTTCTCCTCAGATACATCTTTTAAGTATTTTTATACAATGTATTATTATTTATTATTACTATTCTTCATACTCAGATAAGGTAAAACTACAATAAATTGGAAAAAAAAAAAATCAGTTAATGATATTAATTTTCAAAAATGTGTGGTATCTAACACTAACAAATCACGTGTCAAACATAAATGTGAAATAAACTGATAATAAAATTACCCATTTACATAAATATCTAAACTTGTGTACTGTATAATTAGATTTGCATTACAAAACCAAAATTTTACTCGAATCTAAGATGTATTCAGCCATAGCTATTTTAAGCATGCTCCACAGACTTTATTTTAATCTCTACCTGGATTCATCTTGTACATAAAGGGAGTGTTTTTCCCTGTTGTACTTCAAAAATATTCTAGCCAAACACATACAACAAAGGATGCACAGGAATAATACAACAGCCTGTTAGTATTTTTTACATTTA